CGCGACAAGATGTATGCGATACGACTTGCTCTTGTTGTCTAGGCCCGCGCTGACAACACTCCCGTCTCCCAGAAGCGATACACACTTCTCCCTGAAGTAACGCCATGTCTCATCGCTGAACGTGGACGACATAACCTTGCGTGGTACACGTTTTTGTTTGTGCAACCTGGGGCTTGTTGTGTCGGCCGTTGTGTCCGCAAAAATTTGAATATGAGGTTTTGAATTTTTGCGGGACTTTGCCCGCCGGTTTGGGGAATGGTTCCACCGCGAAAAAAAAGGCGTGGACGAGAGCTTTCGATAGCTGCAAAAATTTGCGCGGGGTTCGGCGTGGTTGCTGAGATACGTGGGTTTTAGTGGCGTGAAGTATACTTCACAGCGATGGTAATAGGGTCATAACTTTTCTCGCAGCGCGAACCCCGCGAAAAACTATGGCTCATTCGAACGCCCCTTGCCCTCAGGGAGGTCCGCGACAAGATGTATGCGATACGACTTGCTCTTGTTGTCTAGGCCCGCGCTGACAACACTCCCGTCTCCCACACAGAAGCGATACACACTTCTCCCTGAAGTAACGCCATGTCTCATCGCTGAACGTGGACGACATAACCTTGCGTGGTACACGTTTTTGTTTGTGCAACCTGGGGCTTGTTGTGTCGGCCGTTGTGTCCGCAAAAATTTGAATATGAGGTTTTGAATTTTTGCGGGACTTTGCCCGCCGGTTTGGGGAATGGTTCCACCGCGAAAAAAAAGGCGTGGACGAGAGCTTTCGATAGCTGCAAAATTTTGCGCGGGGTTCGGCGTGGTTGCTGAGATATGTGGGTTTTAGTGGCGTGAAGTATACTTCACAGCGATGGTAATAGGGCCATAACTTTTCTCGCAGCGCGAACCCCGCGAAAAACTATGGCTCATTCGAACGCCCCTTGCGAGAGCTTTACAGTGGTGTTTTTTTTTTTTTTTTTTTCGATGGGCAACGCTTCTTCTTTTTTCAAACCACCCCAAAAAAACGACCCACTTGATAGAACTGTAGGGACGCTGTTTGTTTTTTCAAAAAAAAACTGTTTGGAGGGGTGGGGGCAAACGGGCCAAGGCTGTCCGACAAAGCCAGCAGACTCGAGCCCATTTCACCATCTCGGCACCAAATTGCAATCTAAGACGTGTTCACAACAAGTAATATTTTGCCCGAGCTGCCCCAACTGCTACCTTTTCAATCCGTGCTCGGTGCGTCGAGATAGTGCAGCGTCGGTGCCCAACTTGAAGCAGGGAAGTTTCTGGCCCCTTGCAACACAGCCGGAGGCGTCGTTTGATTTTGAACCAAGACAGATAGCCTCGCACACCACACACCACACACACAGAGCCAGACATGGACAAACACGGAGGGGGGGACACAGACCACAGCGAGGGCGAGACGGCGGGAGAAGGGTGTGCCATACACTGCCGCTGTTAGCTATCGGCGGAGGAAGCGAGAGGAGAGATCAACATTTATTTGGTTGAAGCAGCAGCAGCAGCAGCAGCGGCCTCTCTGTCTCGTTCCGCGGAGAGGGGCACGTGACACCAACACACAGACGCTGCTACAAACCACCATTGGTGCGACATGTACTGCTGTACGCCTCTCTACACTCTTGTGCGCGAAGGACTAGTGTGCGACCAGTGCCTCCCGTGCTAGCCTGGTTACCCATCACACGCTTGAACGCTTTTGAGATTTCTCGGATCAATGCTCGAACCAACAAGCGAAGCACAAGCAGACATTTTTTTTTTTGTTTAGCTGATAGCCCTATTTTTTAATACACATCCCTCCCTCCCCCCCGGAGTACACCTCCCTCCCCCCCTGGTGTTTGCCATCGGGTTTGGGTTTTCGTCGCTTGGCAACGAAGTTGTAAAACAAGCCCCCCTCTCGGTGTTTGCCATCGGGATCGGGTTTTCGTCGCTTGGCAACGACGTTGCAAAAATGCCAATTCACTTCCAACTCGGTGAAGGCCACCCTCACTCTCGAAATCATGGGTTCGAGTTCGTGTGGAGGTGTCTTCGTTTTTCCAAGACATTTTTTTTTTTCGGAGTCCATCACATCTCAATCAATAGTATATATATAACTACCCTCCCCGGCCTGCTCCCCGGCCGGGGCCGAAATCGACCTTGTGAGTCCCTCGCGGGCGAACCAGGC